TTTGGGGGGCTCCTTCGGGGGGGGGGGGGGGGGGGTACAAATTTTTTGTATGCTTTCGCGGTTAAACCATGCGTCCTGGAGAGGACAGAACATTGTTCCCACAGGACCTATCACGGAGGGACAATGGTTCTTTCCTGGTTTGCCAAAGGGGGTTCAAAGAATGTTTTCCTTACCCTATTTATCCATTTTGTGGATATCACTCTTGGGGGGGGGGGGGTAAGGGGTGGCGAGGAGCAGTAAGCGAGCCAGCCAAGGTGAGCCAGACAGACTATAGAGAGAGCCAGGCAGAGGGGCAAGGGTCTTCGAGCATGAATGCACCGCGCGCGACGCAGCGCAAAATGTGGGCACCAACAAAAACGGACAAAGGCGACACACGTGTCCTCCGCTCTTCACCGAGACGGAAAGAAAACGAGAGGGGAAAAAGACGGCAGCTACATTTTTGTAAGAGATCTGGCGCACGATGCAGGCCACTTATTTATTGGTGTGTTTAGTCTATATTGTATCTCACCCACGACTATCAAGTGATGCGCGTTGAGCTTTGCCACTTCTAGCTCCTGGTCCAGCCAACGCTCCTGCGCCAGGCGTCTCTCCTGCCAGTATTCGCAAGAGCAAGGTGAGGGGGAGGGAGCAACACTGTCGTTAGCGATGACAGCGAGCAAAAACATCAACAACAGCACAAAAACAAGAGAAAAGGACGACAAATGCCTCTCTAGGACATCGCAGTACACGTCACCCAGGAGATGAAGCAACAGCAGCACAAAAAATGTACTACGAAACAAGTAACGACAACAATTTGTGGGACATCGCCCTATGCGCCACCCACGAGACGGCGCAACTCTTCGCAAACTTTTGGAACCTGTAGCTGCAGCACTACACCGCGAAGCCGAGAGCGACGACCCTGACCCAAAGGGGGTGTGGGGCTAGCTTACTCGAAGTCGTCGTGGACGTCCTAGGCGCAAGTACGTCGTACGCACAAGACTGCACCCGCTGCAACGGTTTCAACAGCGCCATTCTCGTTTAACAATGGCCGGCATCTACCACGAGAACCTCGAAAATCTCTCCTCATCCTTGGTATCATAGTAGGGGGGGGGCACTGCAGCGGATATCGGTTGGTACCCCCTCGCGTGCCAGTGCGTAGGCCACGGGCCGTTTTCTGTTTTTCTTGTTCGCTACCTCTCTAAAATGTTGGAGAGGGCCGCTCCTACACTGCTGTAACTCTGGACTACAATGTTACCGTAACGGTCCAGCAGGCAGCGTTTCAAGCGTCGCGACGCCGATGACGACAGCCATGGAGGTTTTCCCGAGATACCGATAGACACATTTTCCCGTCTCTCTCTCTCTCTCTCTCTCTCTCTCTCTCCTCTCTCTCTCTCTCTCTCTCTCTGTCTCTGTCTCTCTTTGCCCCCCCCTCCCTCTCCCTCTCGCCATGACTGACTGTCTCTGTCTCTCCAACGCCACACCGTTACGACACAAAACACCTTTCTACCTTTGCCACCTAAATAGACAAGGACATCGAGCTAGCTTCAAAAATATGGGCACCGTGTCATCACACCCACGGGCGACCCAAGGCACAAGACTACCCTGGGGTACAGCAGCAACAAGCTTACCGGGTTAGCGGTGCGGCTGGCCCAGAGATGAGTGTTGAGCACGAGCCCCCTCACCCCTCCACACCAGAAGGAGTAGTAGTCGGCTCCGAACCTACACAGTCAGTCGAGTCCCCAGAGTGGTGGGAATAACGATTGTGCGCGTTGATGGTGGCGGTAGAGATGTAGACGGCGATTGGTGGTACAGAACGTTGACGTAATCGGACGTACAGCAGTCGTGGGGGGGAGGGGGGGGGTCATGTTATGCATACCTTAGCGGTTAGACCATTGACTACCCGTCCTCTCGAGAGGACGGGTAATTGTTGCTACAGGAACGATCCCCGATGGCCAATCGTTCCTTCCTACTATGGCAAAAGGTGGCTCAAATGTGATTTCCCTGGCCTATCGGGGGTAAGCGTGTATGCGCCAGGCTGTTTTCTTATTCCCACTTTCTTAACATTTTTTGTACCTGGTGCTAGTAGGAATCAATTTCTGAAGCCAACGACCCGTGTACTACTGAAGCCAACGACGCAGAGTGGGGGTACCCCATACAGCAGGTGTCCCGATATAGTGCCATACGATGTTTTCGGCTCGCACGCACTGGAAGTCGTTCTGTACTTTGAATGAATAGTGCCGGTGCCCGGTATAGTGCCGGTCAAATCGCCACGACCCATACCGGCACTATATCGGGACACCTACTGTAGTGCCGGCTGAACAGTGCCACGCCCGGTATAGCACCCCCCGACACGCGAACATTGGCCATCACCACAGATTTTTCTACAACAGCGGCGCCGAACGCCCCGTCCAGCTCCTGCGGTGAATAACCCTTTAACAGTGCCGGATGCCTGGTCTGTAGTGTCTGTGGCCAAGAAGCAACCTGACGGGGGGCACACACACACACCGGCGCAATCACCGAGGGACCCCCCACGCAAGCGAGAGCGCCCTCGTATTGACCTGCCTTACCAGGCCGGAGCCTCACCACTGTCTCACCCTCACCTTCGGACGTAGTCGGACTCGTCATCGTTACCCCCGTCAGCGTCGCCAAGGTCGTGGTTTCCGGGGCAGTACAGGACCGGGATGGTCTCCGAGACCTTGCCCAGTAGCTGGCGCGCGGAGGTCACCTGGTGTGTGTGTGTGTGTGGGGTTCATGGAGTCATAATCCCTTGGGTGTAGTACTCATGAAAACGCATGCCATAGTCGTTAGGCCTCGCACGCCTACAATTCCGGGACGGAGTGATATGCCGGGTTTTCGCCGGCCCAGGCTATCACATCACAAGGACGTGTTGTGGAATCAATATCCCTCGGGGGAAACTGGTGTACTGTGTCCATCCACAGGCTCGAAATGCCGTAGGTGACATCAGATATCACATCCCCTGGGCCGATTTGAGGGCTCGACTTCTCCAAACCATTTCGTTTTCGGAAAGCTCTTGACGAGGCGGTTCCAACGCCGCGGTCTTGGCACCCCTACGCGTTCTCTTGTGGATTGAATCGAGGTTTGAAAATAGGTCTAGGGTGTGGGATGTCCTGCGTCACCTACGATACTGCCGTCGCATCCATCATCGCACATCTTTTCGTTGCTGCTACAGCTCACAACAAGAGCAGAAAAAAAAAGAAGGGCAGAGAGACCACAGCATAATTGGGCTACAGATGTATCCAAGATTCGGAACGAAGTATGGAGGAAAGCGTCAGCCCCGAAAAACCCTAACGTCACGCAACGCCAACGCCCAAAGGTCAAGCGATTACCCTACTAAATAGTACGGACACGATGAAGCGCGGTGACCGCCCCGCCCGCAACGGTTGCAGATGCTGAAGGCGCACGTCAGGCTATGATGGAAGGGGTTCCGGGACCTCGTGGCGCAGTTATTGCACTACGGGGAACCGGCGATCTGCGGTAGTTTCTGCTGCGCGTCTTGCAGTTGCCGATTGTAGTCGCCGATGGCGGCCAGCTCACGAGCAGACAGCGGCGGAAGAGGGCCCTTCTGAGGCCCCGCGCCCCGTTGCCCACCCCCTACCTTGCTGGACGCGCCTGCCTTCTTCTTCCGAAGGGGTAGCACGACCGCTGGCCGCCATCGGCGACTACAACGGGCAACTGCAAGACGCGCAGCAGAAACTACCGCAGACCGCCGGTTCCCCGCAGTGTAACAACTGCTCCGCGAGGTCCCGGAACCCCTTCCATCACCGCCTGACGTGCGCCTTCAGCATCTGCAACCGTTGCGGGCGGGGCGGTCACCGCGCTTCATCGTCTCCGTACTAGTAGGGTAATCGCTTGACCTTTGGGCGTTGGCGTTGCGTGACGTTAGGGTTTTTCGTCGCCCCGCGCAGTGTGGCACAACATGTGGTGAATTGGTAGGCGCAGTAGGTTGGGTACCCCTCGCTGGTGTGTTGTAGGGTTGTCCCCACGGGCGGTAGGCCGGGGGGTGATCTGTCTCCCCGCTCCCCCCCCGCGGGTGGCGTACATCCAAATTGTTTCCGCTTTCCCCCCCCTCAGGTCGCGTAAATTGCCCCGTCCTCTCGAGGACGCGTGGTCAATGGTCAAACAGCTACGGCATGCAAAACATGAGAGGACGCCTAGGTCGCGTCAATTGACACTTGGTCCACTTCGCTCCGCTGTTCGGCGCTTGGACCGTACCGTAGTTATCCTGTGCTTGCGGGTATAGGCGTTTCCTTGACTCGACGTCGTGGGGGCACGGCCCATACCATCACCCACCGACTGCTATCATGGCGAGGGCGCCGCCGCTGGTTTCACATCCCGCGTGCGGTTGCGCCGTGCTGTGCTGCGCAGTTTTCGATCACACGTTGGCCAACCCGGCACCATGCAAACTCACACGCCTACGGTGGACGGACACACAGCTTTCGCTTGCACGGCTCCCGCCCCCACACAAACACAACGCCACGCGCCCCCCCCCCCCCCCCCCCCCAAAAGGACCCCCATTACTGGATTTTTTATTTCCCCCCACAAACATTTGTAACAAAAAAACACCCCCCACCCCCAGGGGGGCCCCTTCCTAAACATAAAACTTTTTTTTAGTTTTAAAAAGAGTGCCCCCCAAATTTTGTTTGGCGTTTTTTTTTTTCGCCCTTTTTTTTTCGGTCCCCGCCTGGATAGCTTTATAATTTCGGGAATTCCCCGGAAATCGGGGCTTTTACCTTTTTTGGTAATCCTGGTGAATTTTGGGGGCCCCCCCTGTGCCTTGGGGCTTCCCCGTGTACCCCAATTTTGCCA